AGCCTTGAATCCATTAATGACTACTATGATATGGTGATATACAATATATGAATATCATATTTTTGCACAAATTATATACAAAAAAAATGCAAAGATAAATTTGAAATAGAAAAGGGGAATTGTACCAAAAAATAGGCTAGAAGAAGCATGAGCTAGTTTTGAAGATTTTCCAGAGCAATTTCCCATTGTAATGAGAAGTTTATAGTACTTTGAAAATAAAATTGGAAATTTATAGAGAAGGGAGAAGAGAAAAAAAAAAAAGTGTCTATATTTGGATAAAATAAGTTGAATAAATTAACCCAAAGTTTAATATTATTCCTTAGTGGTCTTCAGTCAAGGCTAAATCCTAATACATTAAGATATTCATTGAGAGAAAGTTTGACTAAGGGCCACTTATTGTCATTTGTACATAACTTGCTAGATTATTTATTTCATGAATTATAATACATGAATTATTTATAATTAAAAATAAATTCGATGTATATTGGTAAAATAAATGAATATGAATTATTATTATTATTATTTGATCGAACATATTAGTGAAGTCACATGTATAATTATTATTATTATTACTAATTATGATATGAATTTCAATTTTCAAAGCTTTGATTAATATATTTCTATGTAAGATTTAAATTAACACAAAAGGAAATAACTTGAAGGTTTCTTTTTTTCTTTTTTTGGACAACAGTAAAAGTTTAGTCAAAGTTAATGCATGCATTTGGAAAATGAAGTATTTTGGTCCACATAATTGATAATTTGACTAATGTGATTATAGGAATTGTAATAATGATTACTATTTCATGATAGGAGAATTATACTCCCTTCCTTTCGTATTAACTGAATTTCAGGTTTTTTTATTGTTTAAAATAATAAAATTGTTTAAAATTTAAGATAGATGTCTGAAAGTTTTTTCATATTTGTCATTTCCTTTAATAAAGTTTTATGTTTTCTAGGAGATAAATTGCACTACTTACGAAATTATATTTATGATTTCAAAAAGGGTAATAGTGGAAAATATAATTTAAATTATGTCCTTGAATATTTTTATTAATAAATACGCACTGCCTTATAAATTCAATTAATATAGAGCGAAAATAATTACGTTTATTACTATATACAATATCACTTGCTATTAACATCAAGAGCCGCTCAATGCTATCAGTGATCTAAAGCTAAATTTTGATAAAAGGTCATTTTCTTAAAGCAATGTTTTATAAAAGGGAACACATAATAATTGGGGTGTGAAATTCACATAAAGCTAATAATATAGATATTTTTTTAATCGTTATATCTTTTTTAAAAGGAACTTATAACCCTATTATTTCAAAAAAAAATTATAAACAAAATAATAAATGGAGCCCATCAAATTTGGAGGCCGAGGTATTTACCGTTTTTCAAACATAATTATTTTTTACTTTAGAAGTTTTATTTAAGTATATATGTTCAAACATGAATATTATTTTAAATATTTTTTTATAAAAAAATAACTAAACACAAATCCATCTTTAATTCTAATTTTAAAAAATTCAAATAAAATAAAAAATATTTAAAATCTATGAACAAACACCCATTAAATCTCCAATTTTTGTTACTATAATTTATCTTTTTTACTTTGTCCCTATTGTCATAGCATTGTCCCTAGCTAACATTGCTAGAGAATTTTGACTTTGTTTTGTTTTAATGAAATCTTGATATCCAAGTAACGCACACCAAAGAAGACTAAAAGAGAATAGGGTATTAGTGTGTTACATAGGCAACCTTATAAGACTAATATTTAAACACTCGAAATATGACATGTTCTAGTAAACGAAACATAAAATTCTATATATGCTCATTAAGAAAAAAAATATTGAGATTAAAAATAACAGAACATTATATATATATATATATTCATAATTATAAATTTTAAATGATGACGATAATTAAATCACACAACAGATAGCGAGGTATAATACTAAAAAAAAGCATAATCTTTAATATTGTTTGGTCAATTAACCTACTTAAAATTGAAATGAATATAAAAAATAATATAAACTATGCAAAGAGTAATATTTCTAAACAACACTCTTTTAATGACTAAATTAGATTTTTATCCTTTTATCACTTGATCTAAACATAATTATAATTGACCAAAATGAGCTTATATTTTTGAAAATTTCCCAATATATTTGAATTATTTAATTATAATATCAAAAATAGGATTTTTTTTTCTAATCTCATGAGTTATCTTTCTAGTATGTGCATGAACAAGACTTTAACGTGACATTAAATTATTCTTTTCTGTCTTAATTAGTAGATTATTTAGTCATGTGTAATCTACTTCCCATTTTAGACTACTCTAGAAGTTTTCATTATCTTATTATATAATATATAATATAAAAATAGCGATTCAATAAATTCAATAATATTAAATAATAGCATTGTAAACAAAATTCAGCTAACAATTTTTTACAACTTAGACCATTTTTATTTTTATTTTAAAAAGAAGGAAGTTAAAAAAAAAGGGAAAATGCATAAGTAACCCCGTAACCTATGCCCGAAATCTCAGAGACACACTTATACTATACTAAGGTCCTATTACCCCCTCGAACTTATTTTATAAATAATTTTTTACCCCTTTTGGCCTACGTGACACTATCTTGTGGGTCCAGCGTGTGTTGACAATTTTTTCAAGGATAGTGCCACGTAGGCCAAAAAGGGGTAGAAAATTATTTATAAAATAAGTTCAGGGGGGTAATAGGACCTTAGTATAGTATAAGTGTGTCTCTGAGATTTCGGACATAGGTTGGGGTGGTACTTATGCATTTTCCAAAAAAAAAAAAAGGTTAATTCATCAGTCTGTTGACCACATCACAAAGTAATGAAAATAAGATAATTTTTCTCTCAATTTATCTTTTAAATATTGTTCAAGTTGACATTTCTGTTTGACACTTATTGAGTATTATGATATCTTTACTATATTATATTATATTATATTATATTATATTATATTATATTATATTAGATTAGTACTAAAAGTACTAGATTGGAAGAGGTAGATATACCTCAGAACTTTGTTTGTTAAACAAATGGACTATTTCAAAAATTGATATTAAAATCATTTATGATTATGGTTGGTTTGATAAAATATCTCATAAACAGTTAATAAAAACTATTGAGCAATCTTTGGTGTTAAATTCGTCTGAACAGACTATTCATTTATTAAATAAATGAGATATTGCGTTATATAAAAAACAATATAATTTCTTGTATATTGACATGGTTCAAATTACTTTTAACCCTTTAACTCTTAAAGGGTTACCTGAACCATTTTTAGTTGCTCTTCATGATGCTAGAAATTTAAATTTTAGACAATTTTTGATGGATTTCATTGAGTCTACTGTGTTCCTTATAATAGACATTCATTTTCTGATAGAAGATTGCCTGCTATTCATCATATTTTCCCTATTGAACTTGTGTATGGTCCGGCTCGTAACCGTGCTGCTTCTTTACATACCATACCTTCGATTATGTCTTCGGATCAAAGTAATAGACTTGTCAATAAAATCAAAATTGATCCTCGAACGAATGTAGTTCAAGCAAATGATAATTCTTCTGATATTTCTGATAAGGATATTTCTTCTGTATCCGAAATGAATTTTGATCCCAATAAAACTTAATGATGAATGTACACCAAATAGATTTAAGTCCAGGTTCATTGGCAAGAAAGTACATCCAGAATGAGTTTTTGAGTGATAAATGGAACCAGTTTAAAACATGATTTTTCACACTTATAGTGCCGATGATTTAAATAATATTTCTCAAGAATTTTATGAAACTTGTGCTCTTCATAATCAAATTATGCATTTTGTACCCTAGTTTATAACCACTTATTTACCTTTATTCATCAATGTTCTTGAACGATCTTATAAAGATGGTTTAGGTAATATTATTAAGGTTGTTTATCCACCTCAGTCATCTTTTATTTTACCAAATAATACAGGTATCACCTTTACTGCCTTCCAAAAATTTGTTGAAGAAGATGTTGTGGCAGTCAACATCAATGATATTAATAATTTGATTTCTCAAAATAATTATTTGGGACTTTACGTTAAAGTTTTGGGCGAACATATTAGTTCTCTTGATAAAAAATTGAATGAATTAACTGCTTTGGTAATTCAAATAAAAAATGATTTAAAAACTTCTGATAAAGCTTCTACTTCTAAAAAGGATTCGAAAGTTTCTACTCATGTGCAAAGGCCCCCTGAGATTTGAGATTTTAAATTTAAATCAATTTATGATTTAGAAGAACTTCTTGATAAAAAGTTCTCAGATTTTAGCGCAAAACCTATAGATTTGTCAGACAATTTTGCAGATGAAATGGAAAAAACTTTTGAATTTAAAAAGGGAAGATGCATAAGTACCCCCCAGCCTATGCCCAAAATCCCTGAGACACACCTAGCCTTTACTAAGGTCCTATTACCCCCCCGAACTTATTTTTTAATAAATTTTCTACCCCTTTTCAGCCTACGTGGAACTATCCTTGAAAAAATTTTCAACACGCGATGGGCCCTCAAGATAGTTCCACATAGGCCGAAAAGGGGTAGAAAATTATATATAAAAAAAGTTCGGGGGGGTAATAGGACTTAGTAAAGGTTAGGTGTGTCTCAGAGATTTTGGGCATAGGCTGTGGGAGTACTTATGCATTTTCCCATTTTAAAAATCATATTTCTTTAGAATTTAATAAACTTCGCGGTTATCCAAAGAAAAATAGTAATGCTAAGTTTGCGTATAAACCAAACATGCAAACCTATTATTATTCCAGACCAACTCCTTAAGATGTGCTTATAGAGTTACACGATTGTAATTAGATTAATACCTTTTATAGTAGGTCTGAAATTTATGAATGGAATCTTGATGGTTTGACTGATAGACATGTAACTATTCTTGTTCATAGAATGCTCATGTATGCAACTATCTGTAAAAGTGTTAAAAATACAGATAGAAATATTTGCAAAATGATTATTGCAGATTTTACTGGCCAACTCAAAGGTTGGTGGGATAATTATATGAGCATTGAACAAAAGGCTGCGGTGATAAATGCTAATTCTGATAGTGAAGGTGTTGATAACTTGGGCATGACTGTAGTGAAAAATAGAGAAGACACGGTTTATACCTTAGTCTTAACCATTTTAGAACATTTTAATGGTAGATTTACCAATCAATATGAGATTGTTCGTACCTTGTTAAATGGTCTACGTTGTAGAACCTTGGGAGAATTTAGATGGCATAAAGATACTTATATGAGTAGGGTGATGGAACTACCCGAAAATAGTTATGAGCATTGGAAAGCTAAGTTTATAGATGGCCTTCCCCCTTTGTTTGCCGAAAGAGTTAGAAAAGCTATGAGGACTTATCATGGTGAAATTCCTTATAAAGATTATATTTATGGTAAGCTGATAGGAGTTTGCACGCAAGATATAAATTTGTGCAATGAATTAAAGTTATCCAGACAACTTAAGATGGATAAGCTCAAAGAAAGATCTCAGCTAGGAGAAATTTGTAACCAATTTGATTTACCTGATACTTCTGCTAATAGCAAGAAGAAGAAACATAGAGATTCTAGATACTCCAATCCTGATAAACCTTATAGGAAAAGGAGATCTAGATATATAAATCTAAGGAAGAGCGCGACGCTAGAAAAGCCTTTCGTAAGTCTAATAGATTTACCAAGAATAGGTTTAAGCGAGAGCTCACCAATATCAAATGCTATAAGTGTGGAAATTTCGGTCACATAGCACCCAATTGTAAGCTTGAAAAGCTGAAAACCTTAGAACTTGATGAAGAAGTTCATGATAAGCTTTATAGTTTCTTATACACTTCTGATTCTGAGTCTAGTTATGATTTTGATTCAGGTTTTGAGGAAGAGATTGATTTGCTTGATTTATCTGGTAGTAATTAGCATGTTAATATGAATACTTGCAACACTTATCATGGTGATATTTGTTCTTGGGAAAATGATGAATGTTATAAATTGCAATCTCAATTTGAAGATTTGAATATCAACACTATTACATCTGATAATGTGATAGAACTTTTAAAAGAAGTTACTGATAATGATCTTGGTGAAAAAATTATTCATCTAGAGGCTAATAATAATGCTAGTTCTAGTTTTTTAAAAAATTCAGAAAAACAAAAGAATGATTTTGAATTTGAATATTTTGCACCTTATTCTTTGTCTAAAATTAATAACAGACTTAATAAACAAACTACTCACACTAGAGATTCTTCTTTTGATGATTTGAAAAATAAAATTGAAAATTTAAAAAATGACATTAAATCTCTAAAACAAAATCAAATGATTTGTGATCATCATCTTACTCAGATAGAAATTGTTAATAACAAGGGTAAAAATATTATTGAAGAAAATACTTTTGCAAAACCTTTTAATCTTGATTCTAGACAAGGTATGTTGTTAGGAATTATGCAAATTGTAACTGCTCATAAATGGTATGTTAAATGCATCATATGTATTGATAATAGTTTTTCAATAACTGATATTGCTATGATTGATAGTGGAGCCGATGTTAGTTGTATTCAAGAAGGTCTTGAACCTACTAAATATTTTGAAAAAAAACTCATATGGTTAAATCTACTTTTGGACATGCTTTAGATATAAAGTATAAATTACCTAACACTCGCATTTGCCAAAATAAAGTTTGCATTTCACATTTCTTTTTCTTGGTTAAGAATCAGTTATACCCTCCAATTATACTTGAAACCCCTTTCATAAATGATTTATCCTTTTACTAGCATAAATACTAAAGATTTTTCTGCTACTTATGAAGACAGAGATATTAGTTATACTTTTATCACTGACCCTATTTCTCGTGATATTAATGCTTTGTTTAATATGAAACAAAGGCATGTTGATTCTTTGCAACTAGAATTATTTAGTATAAATATATTTGATACTTTGAAATCCACCAAAGTACAAGAAAAAATTAAATTGATTTCTTAACACATTTTTATTGATAGTTGTGCTGATCATCCTAGTGCTTTTTGGAATCGGAAAAAGCATATTGTTACTCTTCCGTATGAAGAGGATTTCTCCAAGAATGATATTCCTACTAAATCTCGTCCTTGTCAGATGAATACTGAATTGTTAGAATTATGCATTAAGAAAATTGATAATTTGTTACAAAAGGGTTTGATAAAACCTTTAAAATCACCTTGATCTTGTACTGCATTTTATGTTGACAATGGTGCTGAAAGGGAATGAGGTGTCCGTAGATTGGTTATCAATTATAAACATGTAAACAAATATTTAAAATGAATTAGGTATCCTATTCCAAAACAAAGAGATTTATTGTCTAGATTATAGATGTCAATATATTTTCAAAATTTGATTTAAAATTAGGATATTGGCAGATCCAAATATTTAAAGAGCATGCTTATAAAACAACTTTTAATGTCCCATTTGGACAATATGAATGGAATGTTATGCCATTCGGTTTGAAAAATGCTCCTTCTGAATTTCAGAAAATCATGAATGATATTTTCAACCCATTTTTGAATTTTATCATTGTTTATATTGATGATATTTTGGTGTTCTCGAAAACGTTTGAAATGCATATTAAGCATCTTGATATCTTTAAGAAAATTGGTAAACAAAATGGTTTGGTCATTTCTAAACCAAAAATGAGTTTGTTCCAAATTGATGTTCGATTTTTTCGCTCTACCATGAATTGTTGCTATTTCCGCACCCCTGTCCGGTGGTTTGAGAAAGAAAGTCGAGACATTCAGAAAGAGAATTATGGCATTTCGAGGATTATAATATGGTCCTAGGACATCATATTTTTCAAGGGAAAGTTACCCGATTCAAAGATCTATCGATTTTGCATCAAAATTTCCTGATGTTATCACTGATAAAATTCAATTGCAAAGATTTTTAAGGAGTTTAAATTACATATCCCCTTTTTATAAAAATTTATCTCGTGATTTGGCCCCTTTATACGACAGGCTGAAAATGGATCATAAATCACCTTGAATTGATAGTCATACCACTTTGGTAAAGGATATTAAACTTCGTGTTCAATCTTTACCTTGCTTAACTCTTGCTAACCCTGATTCACAAAATAATATTGAGACAGATGCGTCTAATATTGGTTATGGTGGGATATTAAAATAAATTAATCCCAATGACAAAAATGAATATTTGATCAAATTTCATTCTGGTAAATTGAGCGAGGTCCAGAAAAAATATGCTACGGTGGCTCATGAAATATTAACCATCATTAAATGCGTGTTAAAATTTCAGGATGATTTATATAATCAAAAGTTTTGATAAAAACTGATGCTCAATTTGTTAAATATATGTTTAACAAAAATTTTAAACATGATGTGTCAAAATTAATATTTTCTAGGTGGCAGGCCCAGTTTTTCCCCTTTGATTTTGAAATCCAATTTAAAAAGGTAAGGGATAACTCTCTTCCGGATATTCTATCTAGAAAATATTTAACTTCATAATGATTTTTTATACTGCTTTCCTTGATGAGAAAATTTTAGTTACCATTTTAAAAATTACTCCACTTAATAGAGATTTGCAGGAATTAATTCTATGTGAAATTATCAACGATGTCATTAGAAAAGATTTATCTATACATGATTTTGAAGAAATTATCGATATCAATGAGAATAATTATTACAGTGACTATTATACATTCGAACAAAACAAAGTGTTATGTTTGCAGGATCGACCCTCCTTAGGTAATCAAGGGCAAAGGTAGGGGAAATAACACCAGAGGAAGGGGAAGATCATCCCGTACAGATAATTTTTTTATAAAAAGGGGATGTCATTTAAACTCCCTAAAAATCTTTGTTAATATCAGGAAATTTTGATGCAAAATCAATAGATCTTTGAATTGGGGTAACTTTCCCTTGACAAATATGATGTCGTAGAAATCAAACAACAATTTGGAACAAACTCATTTTTGGTTTAGAAATGACCAAACCATTTTGTATAATAATTTTCTTAAAGATATCAAGATTCTTAATATGCATTTCAAACGTTTTTGAGAATACCAAAATATCATCAATATAAACAATGATAAAACCCAAATATAGGTTGAAAATATTATTCATGATTTTCTAAAATTCAGAGGGAGTATTTTTCAAACCGAATGACATACCATTCCATTCATATTGTCCAAATGGGACATTAACAGTTGTTCTACAAGCATGCTCTTTAAATATTTGGATATGCCAATATCCTGATTTTAAATCAAATTTTAAAAATATATTGGCATCATATAATCTAGACAATAAATCTCTTTTGTTTGGAATTGGATACCTAATCCATTTTAAATATTTGTTTAAAGGTTTATAATTGATAACCAATCTAGGGACACCTCGTTCCCTTTCAGCAGCATTGTTAGCATAAAATGCAGTACAAGACCAAAGTGATTTTGAAGGTTTTATCAAACCCTTTTGTAACAAATTATCAATTTTCTTTTTGCAGAATTCTACCAATTTGGTGTTCATTTGATAAGGATGAGATTTAGTAGGAATATCATTCTCAGAGAAATCATCTTCATATGGAAGAGTAACAATATGTTTTTTCCGATTTCAAAAAGCACTAGGATGATCAACACTAATATCAATAGCAATTTGTTCAGAAATTAATTTAATAATTACTTGTACTGTGGTGGATTTCAAAGTATCAAATATATTTATACTAAATAATTTTAGTTGTAAAGAATCAACATGCCTTTGTTTCATATTAATGAAAACATTAATATCACGAGAAATAAGGTCAGTGATAAAAGTATAACTAATATCTCTGTCTTCATTAGTAGCAGAAAAACCTTTAGCATTTATGCTAGTAAAAGGATAAATAACATTTATGAAAGGGGTTCCAAGTATAATTTGAGGGTATAACTGATTCTTAACCAAGAAAAAGAAATGCGGAATGCAAACTTTATTTTGGCAAATGCGAGTATTAGGTAATTTATTCTTTATATCTAAAGCATGTCCAGAAGTAGATTTAACCATATGAGTTGTTTTTTTCAAAATATTTAGTAGGTATAAGACCTTCTTGAATTCAACTAACATCTGCTCTACTATCAATCATAGCAATATCAGTTATTGAAAAACTATTATCAATCAATATGATGCATTTAACATACCATTTATGAGCAGTATAATTTTTTCATTATTCCTAAAACATACCTTGTCTAGGATTAAGATTAAAAGGTTTTGCAAGAGTATTTTCTTCAACAATATTTTTACCCTTGTTATTAACAGTTTCTATCTGAGTAAGACGATGTTCACAAATCATTTGATTTTGTTTAAGAGATTTAATGTCATTTTTTAAATCTTCAATTTCATTTTTCAAATAATCTAAAGAAGAATCTCTAGTGTGAGTAGTTTGTTTTTTAAGTCTGTTATTAATTTCAGACAAAGAATAAGGTGAAGAATATTCGAATTCAAAATCATTCTTTTGTTTTTCTGAATTTTTTGAAAAACTAGAACTAGCATTATTATAAGCTGCTAGATGAATAATTTTTTCACGAAGATCATTATCAGTAACTTCTTTTAAAAGTTCTATCACATTATCAGATGTAATAGTATTGGTATTCAAATCTTCAAATTGAAATTGCAATTTATAAATTTCGTCATTTTCACAAGAACAAATATCACCATGACAAGTATTGCAAGTATTCATATTAATATGTTGATTACTATCAGATAAACCAAGCAAATCAATCCCTTCCTCAAAACCTGAATCAGAATCATAATCAGACTCAAAATCAGAAGTGTATAAGAAACTATAAACCTTATCATGAACTTATGCATTAAGTTCTAAGGTTTTCAGCTTTTCATGCTTATAATTGGGTGCTATGTGACCGAAATTTCCACATTTATTGCACTTGATATTGGCGAGCTCTCGCTTAGACCTAT